ATGTAGTCTGTCGTCTTTACCCGGGACGCGGATGTAGTCTGTCGTCTTACCTGGGACGCGGATGTAGTCTGTCGTCTTACCCGACGCGGATGTCGTTAATCGTCTTACCTGGACCCGGGACGGATGTAGTCTGTCGTCTTACCTGGGACGCGGATGTAGTCTGTCGTCTGCAGGACGCGGATGTAGTCTGTCGTCACCTGGGACGCGGATGTAGTCTGTCGTCTTACCCGGGACGCGGATGTAGTCTGTCGTCTTACCCAGGACGCGGATGTAGTTAATCGTCTTACCCAGGACGCGGATGTAGTCGTCTTACCCGGGACGCGGATGTAGTCTGTCGTCTTACCCGGACGCGGATGTGGTCTGTCGTCTTACCCGACGCGGATGTAGTCTGTCGTCTTACCCGGGACGCGGATGTAGTCGTCGTCTTACCCGGGACGCGGATGTAGTTAATCGTCTTACCCGGGACGCGGATGTAGTCTGTCGTCTTACCCGGGACGCGGATGTAGTCTGTCGTCTTACCTGGGACGGGACGTCTTACCTGGGACGCGGATGTAGTCTGTCGTCTTACCCGGGACGCGGATGTGTTCTGTCGTCTTACCGGGACGCGGATGTAGTTAATCGTCTTACCCAGGACGCGGATGTAGTTTATCGTCTTACCCAGGACGGATGTAGTCTGTCGTCTTACCCGGGACGCGGATGTAGTCTGTCGTCGTCCAGGGACGCGGATGTACCGTCATACCCGGGACGCGGATGTTTATCATCTTACCCAGGACGCGGATGTAGTTAATCGTCTTACCCGGGACGCGGATGTAGTCTGTCGTCTTACCCAGGACGCGGATGTAGTTAATCGTCTTACCCGGGACGCGGATGTAGTTTTATCGTCTTACCCGGACGCGGATGTAGTCTGTCGTCTTACCCGGACGCGGATGTAGTCTTACCCGTCGTCGTCTTACCCAGGACGCGGATGTAGTCTGTCGTCTTACCCGGGACGCGGATGTAGTTCGTCGTCTTACCCAGGACGCGGATGTAGTCTGTCGTCTTACCTGGACGCGACGTCGGACGCGGGATTCCTCTGTCGTCTTACCTTACCCGGGACGCGGATGTAGTCTGTCGTCTTACCTGGGACGCGGATGTAAATTGTCGTCTTACCGGACGCGGATGTGGTTAATCGTCTTACCCGGGACGCGGATGTAGTTAATCGTCTTACCCGGGACGCGGATGTAGTCTGTCGTCTTACCCGGGACGCGGATGTAGTCTGTCGTCTTACCTGGACGCGGATGTAGTCTGTCGTCTTACCCGGGACGCGGATGTCTGTCGTCTTACCCGACGCGGATTAATCTGTCGTCTTACCCGGGACGCGGATGTAGTCTGTCGTCTTACCGGGACGCGGATGTCTGTCTGTCGTCTTACCCGGGACGCGGATGTAGTCTGTCGTCTTACCCGACGCGGATGAAGTCTGTCGTCTTACCGGGACGCGGATGTGTCTGTCGTCTTACCGGGACGCGGATGTAGTCTGTCGTCGTCTTTACCCGGGACGCGGATGTAGTCTAAAATCGTCTTACCATGGACGACGCGGATGTAGTTCGTCGTCTTACCCGGGACGCGGATGTCGTCTTACCCGGGACGCGGATGTAGTCTGTCGTCTTACCCGGACGCGGATGTAGTCTGTCGTCTTACCGGGACGCGGATGTAGTCTCATCTTACCCAATACGCAAATGTAGTCTTCTTACCCGGGACGCGGATGTAGTCTGTCGTCTTACCCGGGATACATTGTAGTTTGTCGTCTTACCCGGGACGCGGATGTAGTCTGTCGTCTTACCCGGGACGCGGATGTAGTCTGTCGTCTTACCCGGGACGCGGATGTAGTCTGTCGTCTTACCCGGGACGCGGATGTAGTCTGTCGTCATACCTTGCGGATGACGCGTCTTACCCTAAATGATGGTTCATAATCGTCTTACCCGGACCAGATGTAGTCTGTCGTCTTACCACGCGGATGTAGTCAACGTCTTACCCGGGACGCGGATGTAGTCTGTCGTCTTACCCGGGACGCGGATGTAGTCTGTCGTCTTACCCGGGACGCGGATGTAGTGTCGTCTTACCGGGACGCGGATGTAGTGTTAATAAAGAATATTAAAAATGATCGCTTACCCGGACGCGATGTATCTGAAGGGACAATATAACTGTCGTCTGATGCGCGGAAGCATCGTCTTACCCGGGACGCGGATGATGTCGTCTTACCACACGCGGAAACTGTCGTCTTACCCACGTACTGTAATGTGTCGAGCCGGCGCGGATGGTCTGTACCCCGGGACGTACTGTAATGTTGAACTGGGAAAGGGATGTATACCCTTACCGGGGCGCGGATGTAATGTCGTGAACCGGGAAAGGATGTAGTCTGTCGTCTTACCGTAATGTTGAACTGGGTCTTGCAGGGACGCCCATGTACTGTAATGTTGAACTGGGAAAGTAGATGTCGTCTTACCCACGCGGATGTGTAATGACGCGGATGTAATATCTTACCCACGAACCGGGACGCGGATGTAAAGTCGTCTTATACCTCATCTCAGGACGTACTGTAATGCGGATGAGCTGGCGTCTTTACCCACGGATGTGATCTGTAATCTTAACTGGGATGCACGGATACCACGTACTGTACGCCAATGTTGAACTGGGAAAGGCAATACCCTTACGGGTACTGTAATGTTGAACTGGGAAAGGCAATGTTGAACTGGCCCGGGACGTTTGTAATGTTTAACTGGGACGCGGATACCCAAATCTTGAACGGACCCACGTACTGTAATGTTGAACTAGGAAAGGCGTCCCACGTACTGTAAATGTTGAACCACGAAAGGCAATACCCACGACGCGGATGTTGAACTGGGAAAGTCTTACCCACGTACTGTAATGTACTGAATGTTGAACTGGGAAAGGCTTACCGGGTACTGTAATGTTGAACTGTCGTAATAAAGAATACCCACGTTGTAAATTGATGGGAAAGGCAAAATACCCACTGAAACTTTAAGGTTTCGAACAAAGATAATCAATTACCACTGTAATGCAACAAAAGGTACCCACGTACTGTAATGTTGAACTGGGGAAAGGCAATACCCACGTACTGTAATGTTGAACTGGGAAAGGCAATACCCACGTACTGTAATGTTGAACTGGGAAAGGCAATACCCACGTAAATATGTAATGTTGAACTGGGAAAGGCAATACCCACGTACTGTAATGTTGAACTGGGAAAGGCAATACCCACGTACTGTAATGTTGAACTGGGAAAGGCAATACCCACGTACTGTAATGTTGAACTGGGAAAGGCAATACCCACGTACTGTAATGTTGAACTGGGAAAGGCAATACCCACGTACTGTAATGTTGAACTGGGAAAGGCAATACCCACGTACTGTAATGTTGAACTGGGAAAGGCAATACCCACGTACTGTAATGTTGAACTGGGAAAGGCAATACCCACGTACTGTAATGTTAAGCTAGCAAAGGCAGGTTCAGTGTCAAAATATTCGAAATGATACAAGAAACACAATTCTGTTGAGTTGTATTTATTATGTTTCTGAAAAAAAAAACAACAACAACCAGACTGTAAGTCTGTCTGTCTGTCAATGAACCGCCAATTCTTATAGGGTACGTGATTCAAGACGTCCAGGAATCAAATAACGCTTAGCGGGATAAACAAAAAAAGCCACATCACCGCTGCTCATTTCTGAGTGTGGGTCAAGCGATATAATTGCTCAAAATCAAGTCGCAGCCATCTTGTCTGTGTATATACACATGCGTTTGTGAGTGCGTATGTGTTCGTGTATGCGTCGATGGCTGTGACTATACGTTGGAGAGTGTGTATACGGGTGCGTGCGTATATATTCACGCCGAGTACACTCTACACATTAACCAATAGACCAAAACCGTTCTTTTACGAGTACAGGGATTCCCAGCAAATAACGCTGCTAGACTGTCCATCAAAGTATGGACAATCATTAATTTTACGCAAAAGGAAACAGGTTTGCTTTTTTTTTATATGAATTAAATTTAGGTAAGAATCCGATGGAATGGTAAACAATTTGAAAAATAACTTTTATTGTCATCGTCTAGCAGTCTAATTTGCTATTTAATCTATACCTTGGGGGAGAGAGTGAACAACGGATAAAATGTGGCGATTGGTAATGTATTGCAATTATAAAATCGTATGTTCTTGTTTATGTATGCGTATGCGTCTCTATAGGCATGCTTGCAAATCTACTGCAAATAAGGCCCAACGTTACCACAGCTGGTCAAGAGAATATAAGGTCTTAGCGAGACAAAAAAGCCACATTCGCGTTGCCCATTTTTGAGGAGGGATCAAGCGATATCATTGCTCGAAATCAAGTCGGAGCCATTTTGTATGTGTGCATACGCATGCGTTTTTGAGTGACTATGAGTCTATGTATGCGTTTATGGCATTTGTATTTTTTTTAATTATGTGCTTTGAGAACCAAGGTGATCATGAATCTCTACGGATTCCTATTTTTATTCGTTGCGAATTGAAATGGAATCTTGGCAATGATACTGGAGTGATTTCCTGTTGCATTTTCCAACTTTTAAATCTGCTAGCACCAAAGGCTAGAGAGTCTAGTTTAAATTGTTATTTAACCTATAGTTGAGGGGTCGTGAGAAGATAAAACTGCATGTCTTTTTCTAAGAGTATTTATTAAAAATTGAATAAAACACAGTAGATGGGGTTTGAAATCAGCTTGCTTGATTTCTTCTTATTTTTTCATGTTCCATATCATTTCAGAACATGGGTGATCATGGCTCTCCACAATTTCCTTTTCTCTTACTGCTTTGGATTCCTTTTTCAAAGCTGATAACCGACCTTACGTTTTAAGCGATTTTTTTTAACAGTTACCTATTTCTCAAAAATTATTTTTATTAACATTTTTTTTAATGATTATATTAAAATGATCTCTCTTCGTACAGAGAGCGGTTAAGCTTTACTTTTTACTCACGTTCGAGCAGGTTGAGTTGGTGTCTGTAATGGGCAACTGACGGGCGCTGCCACGGCCGAGAGCCTCGCGCTTTCGTCTCGAGCTGAAAATGTGCAATTCGCGCTTCTCTTCTTCACTTAGACTGTTACAGTACCGGATCTGGTTATCGTGGGGAGGCAACTGCTGGAGAAGTTGGCGAATGCGATACTTCTCTCCAGGGCTATTAATGTATGGCACTTTATCCTCGGGGAGACAACTCATGTACTGGTAGACCTGTAAAAATATATAAAGAAATTTAATTAACACATTGGAAATCAGAACCAGATATATCAACGAATTATTATTATTAAAAACCAACACAGAACCAGAGATGTCAACGAAATATTATTAAGAACCAACGCAGAACCAGATATATCAACGAATTATTATTAAGAACCAACGCAGAACCAGATATATCAACGAATTATTATTAAGAACCAACGCAGAACCAGATATATCAAAGAATTATTATTAAGAACCAACGCAGAACCAGATATATCAACGAATTATTATTATTGTAAATAATCTAACAAATAGTGTTGAATAAACTACAGATATAAATCCTGTTTCATATGTTTGGGTTTTATTAACATTCTAAAAACTGCATTTCAAAACAATAATGTTTACAGTAGGTGTGTACAGTTTTAGTGGAATCAAGTGACAAACCCGACCTTTTGACATGAAGTGGGATTTTTTTTGGTTACATATGTTAAACTTTGTCGACGACGGTAAATGGCAAGGGAATCGAAAGAGAGAAAGCGAAGAAGAAAATACAAAGTAGATAGAGACAAATACGCGGCAGAGAGAAAAGAAGAAAGACTAATTAAAACTGTATCGATTGTAACAATTTCATTTCCCTTGGCATGGCCCAAATATTTATTGTGCATTCAGCGAGAAAGATAAACGTGAAAAGAGTGGTTTGCCGGGAGACACTTAATAGTTGACCATTTCACATTAAGACCAGAGGTCAGTACTCGAAACACAGCACAAAATGCGACGATGTTCTAGGGGTAAGGTATCTGACTGATGTCAAATCAGTCAGATTTCGATCTCAGCTTGAAACAATCGAACGTCTAGCCACAATGAGGAGCTGTGATACAGCGAAGCAGTCTGTCTGTGGATATATGTATGTTATGAATAATAATGAGTGGTCTCTCTTGTTTCATTACTCTCCTTTTTGAGAAAGCTTTTTCTGTTTACTGGGACTATAAAAGGACACTGTACGCGAATATTGCATTCTCAGTTCAATATAGCTTTCTTAATGCCTACATCTGCGTACTTTTGTCATTACTATATATATATATATATATATATATATATATATATATATATATATACAGAGATAGATAGATAGATAGATAGATAGTGAGTCTAGAACCGGCCGCGAATAGTTAGAATCCGCGAATACTTATACATCCCTAAAAGTGCTTATAAGTACCTATTTTGATCGTTAAAACTACAAATACCACAAACTTTCATCCCAAACACTATAGGAATAGGTCAGACCCTTTTAAAATCATTTTTGTAAAACAATATTGTTGATCATACAATTATCGTAAATTTTCTTTCATACGTACAATAACAGTTTTTAATTACGCATAGATCGATACAACCATTGAAAATACTGCATAAAATATCTGTAACAAGACATAAAATATAAAGTTTAAAACATTTTCTAAAACCAGAACTGTGATGGTGCAAACAGACTTAGTATAAGCCATTTTTAAGACCCCACCCGCAGTCCCAAACAAAGAACAAAGCCCAAGCACTACGCATGTTTTTGCGTTTCTTTTCTTTTTTTTAAATTTTGCCAATTTTTACCATACAGTTATATGTTTTAAGTCACTTATATAACAGAAAAATAATACAAGAGTATTCTAAATATGTTCTATCGAAAAAATGCTCGAATCGAGGGAGTTCTCAGCGAATAAGTTGTACATATGTTCTTCAGAAAAACATGCGAATATTCGAGGTTTCCGTGAATAACAAATACATATAATGTAAAGAAACATCCATGTATATGTGAGGCCGCGAATGCTAAAACGGGAATAGGTGGCGGCTCACTGTATATATATATATATATATATATATATATATATATCCACACACTTTTGATATTTTTTATATTTTATTTTTGATATATATATATATATATATATATATATATATATATAGAGAGAGAGAGAGAGAGAGATTTTTGATATTTTATTTTGATATATATATATATATATATATATAGATAGATAGATAGATTTTTTGATATTTTATTTTGATATATATATATATATATATATATATATATATATATATATATATATCCACACATTTGATTTTTTTGATATTTTTATTTTGATATATATATATATATATATATATATATATATATATATATATATATAAAGAGAGTTTTTTTTTATATTTTATTTTGATATATATATATATATATATATATATCAAAGTATATAATTAATATACACGAATGAATTCAATAACCAACAATTACTATTCTTAAAAGAGTGCTCAATACAAAGTAGAGCAGATATAATTATTTTTATAAAAAATTTATAACATAAGTATGTTATAAAATCACTATAAAATAGCCATTTGTTAAACACTCTGTGTCTTATCAAGTTATGGTTATTAGTTAAGTAAAATAAATATTTTTAAAGTTACACGTTAATTAAAGATCCTAAATAGCTATAATAGGAGCATTTTGTTACAAAGCTAGAATAACCAATCAAAAACGTTTTTGAAAAGGTTATTCTAGCTTTTGACAAAAATGTTGCTAGTATAGCTATTTAATCTTTAAATTTTGTAACCATTTAAATTCTTTTAACACCATCAATTGATAAATTTAGAGTGTGTTGAAAATAAAATGGCTTATTTTGTCATATGATTTTATAACATACTTATGTTATAAATTTTTTATAAAAATAATTATATATATATATATATATATATCCACACACTTTGATTTTTTTTTGATATTTTTATTTTGATATATATATATATATATATATATATATATATATATATATATAGAGAGAGAGAGAGATTTTTTGGTATTTTATTTTGATAAATATATATATATATATATATATATATATATATAAGTTTATATATATATATATATATATATATATATATATATATATATATATATATATATATCCACACTTTGATTAATCGTCAAATGGGAAAAAATTGTTACTTGATGAGGAAATAATTTGATTGCTAAACCATAAAAATATAGGATTTTCTTTCTTTTAATGTTTTTTACTCATCAGTTTGGGATTGTGTGTTTCTATTGTACAAAAACGTGCATTTTCTTTTTTACTTGTAAAACGAAAAAGATATTTTTCTTTATTTAAGGAAAAAATACATTTCATTTCTATACTTATTTATTTTGATTTAGCTTCTTTTTTCTATTTTAATTTCATAATACTTCCTTAGAGTAACTTCTATTGCAGACATTGGCCGTGGGAAAACTAATCTAATTTAATTTTTTGTTCGGATCAACTGGGGTAGTTTATTTTTTATGATATTTCTAAGTGAAAATTCATCTTCCTTAGAGTTGACATGCATTTGACATTTGTAGAAGTTGTTATATTATTGTTTTAAGTATCTTTATTATTTACTCTGGAAAGAGTCTAATCTGGTGGTCGATGAGTTAGTTAGGAAAACCATTGTTATCTAGTGTCTGTTTTGCATTGTTGAGTTCTTTAAGTATAAGTAGACAAGAGGATGAATTCTCGTGTGATCTCTTTCGGAAATTTTTTTAACACGGGTATTTTGTATCTAACTGAGCATTCACTCTTAAAGTTAAGAAGACAACAATTTTTACCAGTGTTTCTTTTTTTTTATATAGAAGTAGGTGGTGAAAGTGTTGTGCCTGTATTTTACGAGGAACATCTAAGAATGGGAGTTTATCTTTTGACTTGCAATGGGAATTTATCTTTTGACTATGTAAAGTTAAGCACACAGTTTTTTTCAAATGTGATTTTGAGATTCTCAATTTCTTGTTTGTTTTTCTCTAAAATAAAAAAAAATCCTCTACGTATCGGACATATATTGTGGGTTTACAGACTTGTTTAAATGTTTTCTATGTGGATGGTTTAGTAATTGGTGAAGCACGGGCCGAGCGGTTTTCCCATAGTACCACCATTAGTTTGTGTGTAGATGTTAACATTTTTTGTTTGTTTTTCTCTAAAATAAAAATAAAAATCCTCTACGTATCGGACATATATTTTGGGTTTACAGACCTGTTTAAATGTTTTCTATGTGGGTCGTTTAGTAATTGGTGAAGCACAGGCCGAGGTGTATATATATATATATATATATATATATATATATATATATATATATAAACTTATATATATATATATATATATATCAACTTCCGCTACAGTCGAGTACTCTTTTTTTCTGAAACCAAATTTTGCAATACACACACACACACACACACATATATATATATATATATATATATATATATATGTGTGTGTGTGTGTGTGAAGCCTGTTAAGAAATTGGTAAAAGTTATGAATTTAATTTTGGGTGGCAGTATTTATCCCATCAATTCCCAGCTTTCACACCGAATGCATTGTTGAATTTCTAAAAAGAAAGTAAAAAAAAAACCCAAAAAAACAGACAAAAACAAAACATCAACCTACCCTACTGTGGCACATTTTTCTCTGGGACATTTTAAAGTCTATAAATGCTCGTTAAATTTATTTTAGTCCGTATTATCTGGGTTTTTTTTTTGTTGTTTTTTTTTTTTTACTTTTAAGCGGTATCAAATTTTACATATCTTGATGTAATGAACTTCACCCTGCATAAGGCCCAAGGAACACTCGAGGTATAACCTCACAGAGTAAGAGGCACAGTATATGGAGATATGTGGGGAAGATAACGATTAGCCCTAGACTGTAGTCTTCCTGAAAGCATCCTCTTGGGTGTCGGTTCCACGGAATAGAAAAAGGATGGTTCGCTACAATGGGTTTTAGCCATGAAGGTTAACATTGGTGGCACTAAAGAATGTAGCGCGTCAGATCACTTTCCATGGAAATAGCGATCGAGCAGCGAGACGCTTGCGATGTTTCGTCTCTGGCTAAGGGATTGTAAGGTGGAAAATAATTCATCACCCACAAGGACGCGGGGAGAATAGGGAAATCCTTGGACGACGAACTTCAACTGCCATGATTTTTATTTGAAAGCCAAATGTATTTCTTTATGATCCCTTTTAGATAACGTTTGCCTCCATTAAACGCTGTATGAATCTGCAGAATAGCAACAGCTAACCTGTTACACCCACCAAATTTTTAGAGGTGGCGGTGTTTGGGAGTGGGACATTGAATCCAATCGCAAACTTGAAGTCCGACTCCGCCTCCTGTAACGCGACCGATTTACGAAAACGCATCACGAAAATATCCGTACGCAGCTGTCAAATAGTTCGCTCGGTAATCAATCAGTAGTGGTGGTGGGGTGGGTTACGCGGAAGGTGCGTCATGTGGGTGGGTTGTTGGTGTATCCGCAATCACATTCCTGTCATGCTGCTCGTTATGTATTTGGCTGAAGCGAGGTAAAAGGATGAGCCGCGCTGAAATAACGATACAAACGAAGACAATGGTTTGTTCGTTCTCTTGGCGTGATTTTCCACCCTCGTCCCCGAGAGGACAAAAAAAGTGCTTCTTGATTTGGTTTTGGCCGGAAAATGGTTCAACTTCAGCTTCTCAAGTTGAAGGGTGAAAACTGCCGTAAATCAACAAACGTTCACACTATTATCATTTGCGTAAAGCTCGATTGCATCACACCTTGTCTTTTCATTATATGACTAAGATAGATAGATAGATAGATAGATAGATAGATAAGAAGAGGTTGAGATAGGAAGAGGTTAAGATAGATAGATAGATAGATAGATAGGAAGAGGTTAAGATAGATAGATAAGAAGAGGTAGAGAGAGGAAGAGGTTAACATAGATAGATAGATAGATAGATAGATAGATAGATAAGAAGAGGTTGAGATAGGAAGAGGTTAAGATAGATAGATAGATAGATAGATAGATAGATAGATAGATAGATAAGAAGAGGTTGAGATAGGAAGAGGTTAAGATAGATAGATAGATAGATAGATAGATAAGAAGAGGTTGAGATAGGAAGAGGTTAAGATAGATAGATAGATAGATAGATAGATAGATAAGAAGAGGTTGAGATAGGAAGAGGTTAAGATAGATAGGAAGAGGTTGAGGTAGGAAGAGGTTAACATAGATAGATAGATAGATAGATAGATAGATAGATCCCATACTGTATCTACAAGAATTCAAAATTCTTTAATAGCCACCATTCTCCCATACCTTCCCACCAATTCCAGCATCATATCAACCCACGAATTCCTTCAAATTTAAAAAAAATATAAAACCAACCCAAGGTATTTTAGCGTCACTCGATCTCGAAAATTCATTCACAAACGACCTCGTTGATCAAACCATTGACATACTCTTTAACTTCCTGTACACAAATAATTCCATGCCACGTCCATCCATCAAAGCAAATATCCTCAAAAAATTATTACATGCAGGCACAACCAAAGTCTCCTTCTACGAGTATATTGTTAACATCTACACACAAACGAATGGTGGTACGATGGGAAATCCGCTCGGCCCGTGCTTCACCAATTACTAAACAACCCACATAGAAAACATTTAAACAAGTCTGTAAACCCACAATATATGTCCGATACGTAGAGGATTTTTTTTTATTTTAGAGAAAAACAAACAAGAAATTGAGAATCTCAAAATCACATTTCAAAAAACTGTGTGCTTAACTTTACATACGAAGCAAGTCTCGTAAATACACTAACAACACTTTCACCACCTACTTGTAAATGTAAAAAAAAAAAAAACTAGTATAAACTCTTGTCATCTTTTATTGGCGTCTCTGCAAGAGCATCCTGAACAATAGAAAACCCTCCATACCTCCTTTGTTCAACCAGTTCGAGGTCCTGACCTCCTCTACCGACAAGGCTGAATGCTTTGCTCGGAAATTCTCATTTAATTCAACGCTCGACTCCTCCGGTGTACCCATACCAGACTTCCCTCTGCAAATGGAGGCCCTATTGATCGGGTTACACATAACCCCGTCATTGGTATTGGGCATTATCTCCAATTTAGACACCCACAAGGCTGGTGGTGGAGATGGCACACCAGCTATTGTCTTGAAGAAATGTGCGCCTGAGCTAACGCCCGCCATCTCTAAACTATATAATTACTGCCTCAAGGAATCCTGTTTTCCTGACTACTGGAAGTCCTCATCCATTGTTCCTGTCTTTAAGAACTCTGGAGACCCCTCTGACCCCTCTAATTACCGTCCTATTAGTCTCCTACCCCTCTTCGGCAAAGTCTTCGAAGCCCTAATCAATTCCGAAGTGGTTAACCACCTTACATCCCATGATTTGCTCTCAGACAAGCAATATGGTTTCCGCTACGCCCGATATACAGCTGATGTGCTTACGGCCATCACTGAAACTGTCTACCAAGCTCTTCAAAATAACGGTTAGGCTCGTGCCGTGGCCCTAGACATCTCCAAAGCGTGTGATAGGGTTTGACATGCCGGCCTTCTTCGCAAGCTCCAGGGTTATGGTATTACAGGTCGATTGTTTAACCTAATACAATCATTCCTGTCAGACTGTGAATTGAAGTCGTTCTTAACGGATTCTCCTCCAGTTCCTATCCCATGAACGCAGGTGTTCCTCAAGGCTCCATCCTTGGCCCCACTCTATTCCTTATCTTCATCAACAACCTTCCTGACGCCATAGATTCCCAAGTTGACATCTACGCGGACGACACTACAATTTACTCCTGCCTCAAAAACAAATCTAGTGTTGCTGACAAAACTAACCTGGCCGCTCGTCTTGAAATGGACCTCCAATCGGTTGTTAATTGGGGCAAGAATTGGCTGGTAAACTTTAACGGCTCAAAAACTAAACTACTCTCTATTAATCACCATAGAGATCCTTCCCTGCCCCCCCATTAAAATGTCTGATGCTGAACTTCTTGAGAGCAACTCTCTGCGTCTGCTCGGTCTCACGTTGACTGCTGACCTGAGATGGAACAAATACATTGAGTCAATTGCTTCGTCCACCGCAAAGAAAGTTGGCTCATGTGCCGCGTCAGGAAAATTTTCTCCCCGGAAACGATACTTCAAATATACAAATCAACCATTCGCCCTTGCATGGAGTATTGCTGCCATATATGGTTTGGGGCACCTTCTGTTTACCTCGGAGTTCTTGATAAGATCCAGAAACGGATATGTAATATAATTGGCCCTGATCTGGCATCTCGTCTACAGTCACTCTCTCACAGACGCGCCGTCGCCTCTCTCTGTCTTTTTTCTAAAAACTTTCATGGTAATGCTCCGATGAGCTGCTTTCACTGGTTCCCAGACTCCATGAATTCAAGCGCCCTACGAGGGCTGGCATCCCTCTCACCCTTACACTGTATAAACTTTTAAATGTAGCCGTCTCTTCTACTCCAATAGCTTCATACCTCGCACCTCTCGCCTGTGGAACACCCTTCCCAATTACTGTTTCCCTGAGAGCTATAATCTCCAACTATTCAAATGTAATGTCAATCGACATATCCAGTTACCTTGATCTATCCACTATCCCTCTCCTCATCCTTTCTTCTATCACTCCTATCTGCTCTCGCTCCTAATCTTCTGCAACCCTCTGCATCATAGTGGCTTCACGCCTTGCTCGGGGCGTAATGCTTTAAAAAAACAAACAAAAATAAACAAACTTTAAGAGTGAATGCCCAGTTATATACAAAATAGCCGTGATAAAAAATTTCCGAAAGAGAGCACACGAGAATTCATCCTCTTGTCTACTTTTACTTAAAGAACTCAACAATGCAAAACAGACACTAGATAACAATGGTTTTCCTAACTACCTCATCGACCACCAGATTAGACTCTTTCCATAGTAAATAATAAAGATACTTAAAACAATAATATAACAACTTCTACAAATGTCAAATGCATGTCAACTCTAAGGAAGATGAATCTTCACTTAGAAATATCATAAAAAATAAACTACCCCAGTTGATCCGAACAAAAAATTAAATTATCTATTATAGAATATTTAAAACAGCTAACCTTATCCTAAAAAATAACAAGATTATAAAGAACCAACATTATTTACGAGTTCAAAAGCGCGTTAAGGAACTCTGTTCTTGATCAAACTAAACTCATAAATAATTACATCGGTCACAATACTACATGCCTATCCAGACGTCTCACGCTATATCTGTCTTTAGAACTAATTTAAACACACACACGAACCTACCAGACTCCATCCGAAACATACTAGCAGAAAATACATGCATAATAACCTCATCCACATGTAAAAAAAGATTAAAAATAATGGAAGCCTTAATAGTAACGAAGAAAAAGCCAACACTCAACATTAACTCCGAAGACGACCACAACGTGCTTATCGTGTTTAGAAATTAAAACATCTTTATAACTCTAGAAACATACACACAAATTCAAAATATTTGTGTGGTTTTTACACAATTTGTGTCCATAAGAGTAAACACTTGTACGAACGCTGAACAATTAAATAAAAAGCTTAATCGCAGTACCTTGTCAGTAATCTTTAATGAAACAAATTAACTGAAATTTCCTTTCTTTCACTATACGGTCAGTTCTAGGCAGGAAACAGGGTATAATCGATTTTTTATTTTTCCTCTGATTAGGTCATTTGCAGTGGTGTGCAGTAATATGAATCTGTTTTCGGGGTGTATGATGAAATTTGTTTGGCCGTGAAAAATAATGCGTCATCCGTGATTGTATCAAATTTTTATTACTCCCTGACACTATTGTCTCGATTCTCGATTAGTTGTCCAACGGCCATTGTTGCGAAGGAAGTTACTCCAAGCAGGCTTTCGAAAATTGTAACGCTGCGCGAACACACTAGCAAGCCTTACTAGTGGCGCAATGAAAGTACTATGGACTGACCCGGAAATTCCTCTGATTTAAATCCAATCGACAAATCTTTGGTCAATCTGCAAGAAACGACTTCGTGGAATGGATATGCATAGTACTAATATGTGCTCTTGGTCATGTTTCATTGGAATAATACGTAAAAAACGTAAATAATAACGGAATTATTCGTTTTGTTTCAATTAATTTGCATAAGGGTGTATATAGCGTACACAACAACTATCCTTTCCCGCAGTTTCACATGCCATTCATTTGAACAAAGTGCAATTAGACATCGTATTAATAAACACCAGAAGAATTCTAATAATGTTAAAGAGCTTTTTAAATAAATCCGATTGCAAAAATTACTAACATTATTGAAGCTATTTACATTCAACAAAAGCAATGATCCATTATATTCTCCAACCATTAATAAAAATTG